GGAGGTGGAGGAGGAGGAGGAGGTGGAGGCACAGCACCACAACCGCCTGGAGGAGGAGGAGGTGGAGGCGGTGGAGGAGGAGCGGCCACACCCCCTGGTACACCAGAAGGTAGAGGGGGAGGTGGAGGAGGTGGCGGAGGGGCAGAGGCAGGAACACTGGATGGTGGGGATTCAGTGACAGAGGACGTAGCACTGGGCTGGGCGGATGAGGCTGGGGCTTGGACATATTCAACCACTGTGACAGGCACAACCTGGATGTCCAGACCTCCAGAGGCACTGCGTCCCAGTCGGATCAGCCCCTTGTCCTGCAGCTCCTGGATTTTCAGCTCCAGCTCTGACGACATCTGAGGGGTGGAGGTGCTCAGACGCTCCCTGTCCTTCTCCCTCTCCCTGTCTAGCTCTCGCTCCCGTTCTCTCTGCTGCAACGCACTAACCTGGGAACAAGACTCCCGCAGGCTTTCCTGTTGGACACAAACACAAATGTAGAAACACAGCCACAAAGAAAAATAACGCAGAGTCTATCTTTAAATGAGATTCAGACAGGTGACAAATTAAAGGAAAAACCTGAATGACTGGGTGGAGAAACGTGACAAATGCAGATGCTTTCATACAGGACACGTGGTTGAATTAACATTGAATGGTTTGATGAGATTTAAAATGATATGAATCAATCAACACCTATGGGAGTATGGAGAGGGTTCTGGAAACCAGGAGGTTTGTGTTGTGTGTTGTGTTTTTTCCTGAATTGTCACCCAGCTGTATAATATATTAAACAAGACTAAGAGTCTCACAAGAGGCTCTGTGAGGCTGTACTTGGTGGTGCTTTGACCTAAATGCTATTCAAAGCTTGCTCACAGTCACAGTGCTAACATACTAATGTTTAGCATGATAGCATGCTAACATTAGCTAATTCACCATTATAATTACAATTCATTATTACAATTCATGCTCAAGGCAACATTAATGTTAATGATATTCAACTCTTAACCAAAAATGGCAACATGATTGTGGTGTAAGTGGAAAAGTCATGGGATCACCAAAGTCATTAGGATTTATCCTTTTGGAACCATGAATGTCTGTAGAAAAATGTCATGGCAATCTATCAAACAGTTGTCGAGATATTTCAGTCTGGACCAAAGGGGTGGACCAAGAGACACAGCCATCCCTAGAGCCAATGCCGTTAATGTAGCTAAAATGCAAGGTCATTTAAAGATTTATTTGATGACTGAAAATTCTCTCTTTTTCTTTTGCATTGAAGGTGATTAGGTTTTACTTTTCATATTAAGATTATTCAAATAAAGTGTACTGTCACTCTTTTGACCTCATTATAACATAATCGCTGTGATAATGTCACACCTTGCTTGGATAATTAATCTTATTAAGCATTGTACATGTCACGGAGCAGCACTTACTTTGAGCAGCTCAGTCTCCTTGGTAGCCTGCATGAGCTGAGTCTCAAGTTCAGATATTCTTTCTGTAGTTCGATTCTCAATCTCCTCAAGCCGGGCACCCAGCTGCAAAACAGACAACATGATGATTTAACATTAAGGAAGAATATTTTACAGATACTTACAGATACAGAT